GGAAAAGGCCCCTGTTTTGGAACAGAGTATGGAATATTGGGGGGGGGGGGGCGGTGGCTGCTGCACCTTCAGCCATGACCTAGGATTGGGGCCAAAGTCACAGCCACTGCTTCCCCACTCCCCACTGCTCTCTCCCCATTAATCCATCTTCCTAGCACTTAAATTCCAAAATCTTGAGTAGCTCCAAAACAGCTAGTCCGCATTTTTATTGCATTAATTATTGCTTACTACAATGTGTTAGATCCTGTTCATATACAAGATACAGTCTCTGATGCAAAAAGCTTGAAGTCAAAAGAAGCTAGCCCTAGGAGAACATAAGGTATCAAACTTAAAATGTGCATTATTTGGCACATTGCCTGGAAACTGCCAAGAGAGACATGATAAAACAAAATGCATTATGGTTTATATTTTATTTTGTATGCATACAAACACATGATGGTGTAGTATAAAATTTTTTACTTGCATGAATATGCAAATTCCCTTTTCTGCATTGGAGAAAGATGTGAAAACACAAGCATTTTTTGCTCAGTGTAGATGCAACTAAATAGGACATGAATATCTGCCACAAGTACTAACTTTGAAAGAGATACTTCCCTCTTATCTCATAGGTTTACTTCATTATTTATATGGCAAAGACCTTTTAACCATCACTATGCAGGGGTTAAGCTGCATTTAAGCTTTTATAACTTAACATTTTATGCATCTGAAATATCCTTAAGATACGTTCTCCTATGACCTCCTTTAGTATTATGAACTTCTTCAAAGATTTAAACAAACATTTATACCCAGTGCCCAAAGCACCTGGAAAATTCATATCATTTGAGATTTACAAAGAAAAAACCCCCCTGCCCTTGTCATGAAAGACAATTCAGCAAATAGTAATTTATGCAGATTTTCCTATTTTACCAACTAACAGATGTTATAAATAAAAATATGCTATACAGTAAAAAAACCAAATGGACATAACAGATTCTTTGCCATTTAAACAGCAAATGCTATGCTGCCAATGTGAAACTACATTAACTCAATTTATTTTTCTATCATTTACCTTTTTCCACAGACAAATGAAAGACAGAACTTCATTCTAAATTTGCCTTGCACAGTTGCATTTAAAGTTTCATACTTTAAAAAAAATCATAAATAATTTTTTTTAAAAGAACCTGCTCAGGAAAAAAAGATTTACTGTCACTTAAACCATATTACTTCAAAAATATTATACATAGATTTTATACATTTGAGAAAAGACTGCAACTGAAGTATGTGTCCCACTTAGCACTGTCAAACAAATCCTTGAGAAGAAAAAGGAAGTACTGCAGCTATGTAAGGGCTTGTCTCCATACACAGCTGCACCAGTTTAACTAAAAATGTTAAATTAAACTGATTTTGTTAATCATGAAGCCATGCTGGATACTTGTGTCTGTTTAAATGAGATTTCATTTGAGCTGCAGTTGATGATGAACACATTTAAGCAAACAAGAAAAAAAGCCACCCACTTTGAATGGAAGGCATCAGAATGAGGTGTATACCCACTTATATTAAAATTAATAACCAGATCTTTGCATAGCGAAACCTTCCACAGACTTCCTGCACAAGGTCCACATGCGGAAAGATTTTTAGTACTAGGAGGATTCAAAAGCAGGATAAATGACTAAGAGAAAAGGCTGAAAGATCCAAAGTATCCTACAGTATTAAAAACTGCCAGTGGATGTAGTTCTCTCCCTTCGCCACTACAAGTCAAGCAACATGTGCAGTTTGCAAAGAAGGTGCTAACTGTACAAATGTTTGCACTAAAGGCAGATTCCATGGGTAGCATCTTTGGAAGATGCCAGCTAATAGGGCAGTGTGAAGCTTCAGGTGCTGACTCAATTCAGAAGAGATTTGGCCCGATTCAGCAGCTGAATCTCCAACTCTGAATCGAATCGGGAGACCAAAGAAATAGGTCCAAATCGATCTGAAGCTCTCAAAGTCGATTCAAAAAAGATTCAGAGAGCTTTGGAGATTCGGGCAGTCCCCACTCGCCACCGCAGGGAGCTGGACCCAGGCTCTGTGCTGGTAAGTAGGGGGTGGGGGACGTGGACCATGGGGGGACCCCTGCCAGGCCCCATCCTCTGCCTGCTCCTCCAGCCCCCCCAAGCATCCCCCAATCACTCTCCCAGCCTTCCCCATGGCTGCCCCGCCTGGCCCCAGCTCCCAGTTCTTTAAAAAAGCCCTGCACTCACCAGATGCTGCAGCAGCAGTCAGGGCTTCTGGAGGCTCATGGCAGAGGCCCCCATGCAGCACAGGGTAGTAGGCAGGGGCAGCAGGGATCACCCACCCACCTGGCAGGAGCTCGAGTGCATGGGGCTTTAAAAAATAAATTAAAAAATAGAGCCAAGCTCCCAGGGCCAGGTGGAGTAGCTGTGGGGGGCACTGGGAGAGCAGGCAGGAGATGGAGCTTGTTTCATTTGGAGCTTCAGCAGCAGCCAAATCTCCAAATCAGATTTGGCCAAATCAATTCAAGACAGCAATTCAAATCACTCAGTCAAATCACTGTCCCTTGAAATTGGCCAAATCCGAAGCAAATACTAGCCGCTTTGCACAGGTAGGCCTCTGCTTGTTACATATGAACAAAAGGTTGCAATGCCTGGTGCTGTTTCAAAATCAAAGGGATGCCAAGTCAGCTGGGGAACAAGTCAGTTTGTCAGAGGGATGGCTCCATCCTCCTTCCAGTTCCCCTGAGCCCCCTCCTACCTGATGACGGTTTTGGCTCTGCCCTCCCCCACTGCTGCCAGTTCTCAAAATATTTTCTCAAAAACTTTTCTTGAAGCCCTCTCATTTAGTCCCAGCCTTCATTTTTAGTTAAGTTTCTAATGTTCTGGGTTGCAGAAAAATATTGATAATGTTGATAATAGCTCAGAAGACCCCAAAAAAGCCATTTTTTAAAATTATAATGTTCACACCACTCATGATTTCTGAGCAAGTGTGATCGACAACTCTCTCCACATCAAACACATTCATAGCATCTAGCCCCTCCTGGTGAGGGGGCCTGGGTGCAGGAAGCAGTGCAGAGCAATAAGTGATGTGATTCTAACGACTGTCCTCAGCACTATAACACGTGAATTAAATGAAGTAACAGCAGAATTTTGATAGCTATTGTTGTTGCCTGGGTTTCTTGTGCCCAATCTAGTGTTGACTTTGCCAGGGAAATCTGTAAAATGGCATCCAGTCTGCACGGTAAAGAAGGAATTCCATGGTCTGGGTTTGGAAAGGTGTAATGTAGTTTTCCATGTATACCAGACTTCCTGCATTTTCAGCAGCAACTCTGCTCTCTACCCAAGTTCCCTTCTTAAATTGCGCTTTGGGCTCTTCTTAAAAAACAGTACTTTATGTCAAGCTGCTGCTGTTGCAAATATAGGATGGTATATTTTGGGTCCAACTGGGAAAAAAAAATCAGTTACTCTTATAAATGGAAGAGTTGTAAGACTAAGGCAGTTATATAGCAGAAAAGGAACATGGGAGCATTCATAGCAATAAGAAGGTTTTTGAAAATGGGCACTGTCGAAGGTGAATCTAGTCAGTCTAAAAAGCCCTGTGACAAGTGTATATGGGGAGGTAACTTCCACTGGAAATATGAACTTATGCAGAATCGCATTTCATAGACAGTGATCAAAGCAGACTCAAGTACGGTGAGAAATAGAAAGAAAAAGCCTTTTGCAGCCTGAAAGCATAACAACAATAATTGGTAAAACAGTTATATTTTCAGAACTATTTTTAAAGAACAAAAAGAATGTTGAAGTGGTGAGACTAAATTTAACGATGAGAATTTCCTTCAGGATGATGGACTAAAGAGTCAAGGTTTCCAGATTCCACAAAGTTGAATCTCTATTGGATGATATTCCTTGTGAAATGAGTCTTTGTTCATACAAACATTCAATCGAGATGCCAAATATCTGGAGGGGGGATAATTATTTCACTAAGTGATGATATTAGAGCAGCATGTGAGAGAAATGTTAATAAAAGTATACTGTCATAAAGGCAGCCTCTAAAGCAGACAAAGAAAGTAGCTGGCAAATTAACTGGGAAATGGTATTTTGGTAGACTTTCTACCCATAGTAATTCTTAAAAAGCAGTAAGGATGTTTTTTTCCTGTTTAGCAAAACAGGACATATATGTAAATTTATGTTTAATTAACAGACTCAAAGGACTCTAATGATTTTAAGGTGGGGTACATCAGCATCAGAACCAGAAATACTGGAAACATGACTGAAGGAAACTTTCCCATGCAATTACTCTGTGCCCCACTTGGGTAATTCACCTGTTCCCAGTAAACGCATCTTGCAGAGCAGTGAGTTAACTAGTCAGCTTTTGAGAAGTACTGAAGAATACCAACAGGACTCCACTGTGTGGACATTATAGACTGCAGGAAAGTGTCTAAACACCAACTCTAAGCAAGAACAATTCTCAATAGCTTTATTCCCCTCTCCAAAAACTGAGGTGCTGAGGAGGCAGCTGAGATAAAAGCCCTTTTCTGTCAGGAAGGGGGGAAAAATATAATTCCCCATATATTCCACAACTATATTGATCATGAAGTGTTTTGCTTTCCATTAGAGCTCCACTTAGACCGCCACTAATGACACTTCAAAATTTAGCTGCAAGTCTTACTGCAAGGTTTTGCGTTTTGGCTGCTAAGCAAACAATTAATTATTTATAACTTGTCTGATGCTTCTCCCCCAGTAAACAGACTAGTTAAATGAATCAGCTTGGAAAAGGCAAATATCTGCTTTATATGATAAAGGGGCCCATTTTAAAATAAAGATAGTGAAGCTTACTTGTTGGCAAACAAAGGTTTTTTCCAGTACCATTTTTAGTGACTAGTGAGAAAGAACAGCATTAAATATAGCATTACCTTCGTAAGTGTGATAGTTGTAGTAGGCAAAGTGATTCCTTCTCCCTGGGGTTAGAAACACATGCAGAGGACCCAGGTGAAGGCAGCACCAGCAGGACAGATACCATGCAGAACATGCGGAAGAGGGCAGGAAAAGAAAAGACAGGAAAGGGTGAAACTGTAGCCGCACAACACTTACTCAAAAGGATGCAGTGCATTTCATTCTTTCAATTTAAAAAGCTTTGTGATATACAAAGACATTGATGCTAGTGAATGGATTAAACTATTATTTTAGAAGCTGACAAGCTGTTAGAAGAAAGCACAAACAATAAGTCAGTCTCCAAAGCAATGTGCAAAGGCTGAAGTTAACTGTACACAGAGTTGCCACCTGTCTCATTTTAATTTTTTCTGTTTTTCCAATTATCAGATGTCTTATTCCAATACCCAGATGCACAGAGCTTTTAAACATTAAAATAAACAGATTCTATGAATAGTACACTTAAGGGAGAATAAAAAGAAAAAAAGAACGTCAAAAAAGCCTGTAAAGATTGTAAAAATGCAGACAAATGCAAACAGCTAATTTTAGTCTCCCCAAAACGATACCAAATAAGTCTGGCATATACCAGGTGTTCTGCTGATTTCATTTAATATGATCTGAAGTTTTACTGCTTTAATAAGATAACAATCAATCACTTAAGGTACAGCAGCTAAAATGTTACATCAATTCAAAATTACTTTCAATAAAAAAACCCCCTCAGCCTTCAGGAGACAAAAGATCCCTTCAACTTCCAAATACCAGACCAACATACCCAAAAAGTACATTATCACCCAAACAAGATACGCAAACATCACAGGGCAGAGGTGGGTTGGTGAGAAAGACCTATAATTAATGCTGACCACAACATATGAAAAAAAATTCTATTTCGCCCTCAAGAAGTAAAGTGCAAAAACACACACTGTAAAAACCAAAGTTATACATCTTTTTTTTTAAACAGCGCTAGCTCACCTCCTCCATTTCCCTTCCCCCCACCAATAATCGTAAATTATAGACCATCTTGAAGATTAAGTAAATCTGTACCCAAAAACGTTTAGTTTTGCAAATTATTTGGAGAACCAATGGAAGTTAACATATATTTTTAAACTAGAAAAAACAAACTTAATTATAAAACAGTGAGCAAGCTAAAATGTATTTTTTAATAGGTTTATTTTAAATGCATTACTCCACAGTATACAGTACTGTTAACCAATGTACTGCAGTATACCTCAAAGCAATATGATCATTCCTATTACAGCACTAATTTAATTTTAAATGCAGTCATATTTAAAAGTAGAACTATTCAAAATGTTGCTTTCACCAATCTGAGAAAGTTGAAAAATATATTCACATTTTCAATGTATTCTTAAACAAGGTGATAACTGCCATGTACAATAACTACTTTTCTATATAAAGTTGTATACTGACAGACACTTGCAAGTAAGATGTTAACTATTTTATTGTGATTTAAGTGTTTAAGAATCTAAAAGTGATGCATCAAGTTTGGCACCCAAAAATCCCAGCAAAAAAAAGCTTTTAAGTGAACAACTAGTTTATAAGCACTAAGACAAAAAGACAATATTAAAAATAATTTCTTGTCTTCTCAAAGTTTTGATTCATTGGAACTATTTCTCATTTCACAATTTAGACTTCAAACCCATATTCAGTGATTCCCTATGAGTTATTCTCTTTCCTTTTATCTTGACAAAATCAGAA